CTATATTTCCATGTGAAATTGGCGATCATGTTATGGCCAAGATTGTCTTTCCAAGTCTTAGAGATGTTGAATTTACTCGATTGATGTTTCCCTGCAATATATATGTTTCTTAGGTGTTTCTATACCAATCTATGGCATTATATGAAAACTCTGCTAGGTGATTTGGTGGGATCAACTCTATATTTATGGATTCTTTTCACCTGCATATGCTTAAAGTTTAGTAACATTAGAAAAGTCGTCTTCATCCTATTTTTTCCAGGGTGGGACTCCCACGTCAGAATGTGATGATTAACCATTGAATTTGATCGAATCATTTGAATCTTTGTCTTTGATTTACAGAGGGTGGAGCTGTAAACTGTAAAACCTAAGGACTAAGGAGTAAAGAATAATCAATTTCTTGATTCTATGAGACTCTGAGAGAAATAATCAATCCGGGTATGTTTCTTGATTCCATGAGAGATTCTTCATTCTTGACTTCTTGTTTCCAGCTTTATTGGTTTATTTGTTTACTGTATTCTGTTTTGTGATTGAGAATTGGAGTATGGATATTGGATAATGGATGTTTGATAAAGGATGATAGGGGTTAAAGTTTGAAATGGGATTTTATAAATCTGCAATTCTGTAACAATTCGGTGGCCAATGGTACTCATTTGCAGTTGTTTTGCTCATATTACTGTAAGAAGTCCCCCAACATGTGTAGCTAATTTTCTGCTGCCTCTTCATTGCGTTATTCAAGTGTGAAACCACAGACCTGGATTTTTTTAATCTGAGCAGATAGATGCTCCACGGAAAGTTTCTGAGAGTTGAGTTTTGGCTGAATTTTTCAATAAGTCACACGTGTAGCTAATTTTCTTGCTGCCTCTTCTTTGCAATTTTCAAGTGTCTATTGTGGTTTGCATAATCACTGTGAAATACTTCTTTCTATATTTGATCTATATCATTTTTCTTTTATCTTTGACGCGTGATTGGATAATATATAGTTTCTAAATACACTACAGATATGCCTCAGTCAAAGATAGTCTGCTATACAAAAATTGCTGTGCAACTGAAAAAGAAGACTGTCTGTGATGTGCCATTACATTGCAGATGGATGACTGTGAGTATTCCATAAACATTCTGCTCATTCTGTAATTATTTTTGCTTAACATTCATATTACCAATCAGCTGAAATTGCATAAGAAATTGGATGGATATGCTATTAAATTGTTGCTGGACTGGGTGTATTGGGGGCCTCAGATTTATCAGGAAGTTTCAGTTTAATAGCTTCTAAAATAATCTAGCAGGACTAAACTAATGATCTTGTAGAGGTCATTGCTTTGTATACAAGTAATCTTCCTCCACTCCCCATATGTATTCTGAACTTTCTGTTTTGCAATTTGAGTTTCAATGTGATGATTTGAATTTTTGGAATTAAAGAAGCTATCTTCAAATACCAGAAAGGTAAAAACAGAAAGATGATGTCTTTTTTTATTTAAACTTTGTCGGATAATGTCTTTTCTTGTTTAAACTCTCAGTTACCAGAACATCTTCTAATTATTTTCCAAAATGAGACGCATTTTATCTTTAAACATTAACTAAAAAAATAACTTAAAGTCACTCCACACTATTAAATACCCAATTAAACTGCAACACGTGCATCGCACGTGCCCACACTAGT